AGATATTGTCATTCTTGAAATACAGATGTTGAAAATAAATTTAATCTAAATTCGTTATTTGATTAGCATTTACATGCTATAGCATGTCCTCAATGTGGCGAGTATTTATCCTTGTCATTGTCCGAAAAAATGCAAGACAAAAAAGGACTTGCCTTAAAGTTACTTATCAATTGCTTTAACTGTAAATATGAAAACGAGTTTTATATTTCAAAACAATGTAACAGATAATATGATATTAATTGTAGAACAGTATACACAATGGTATTGTATATACATTTTTATACCAGAATGTCCCTGTCCAAGTACATCCATTGTCAAAGAATGCACTTAGACAAGGACATTCTGGTATAAAAATATTCACCGCTTTAATGCATATACCAAAGCCAATGACGCAAAATAATTATGACAAATTAGCTGTGAAAATAGGTGCTTTCACACAAAAAGTTGCTAAAGATGTTTGATTCAGTAGCAGAATTGCGTAAACATGCAGCTAATGTTTAAGTTTTTGGTATTAGTGTGTCGTGTGATGTTACTTGGCAGATAAAAGACATTTCATCATTAAATGGTGTCTTTTCTGCATTATCAATGGACACTTGAAAAGTTTTCAATGTGGAACCAATGTTCAGGTTCTGCAAAGGTTGATTTTTGAAGAAAGTTCTTTTAAAAATAAAACCTACAGCCTATGCCCAATTGAGGAACTCTCACATTTGTAAAAATAATTACAAATGGTCTGCAAACGGTATGAAGACCATTGGTCAAAAACGTGTATTTTTAAGAATTACTGAGATATAAAAATTGCAATACGTGAATTTTTTAGGAGACAGAGACATTAAAAGTTTCATTAATGTCATAGGCACTTACTCTGGCATTCAAGTTAATAAGTTAGAATGCGTGGGTTGCTAATGAACTGTTTAACAGTATGATTTGGGACTGATTACCGAAGACAGGTATGTGTCTCTCGATAATTTGAAATTTAGCCTGTATAATACATTAGCAAACTTTAATATTGGTATGAAAACTTCAGTGTTAGATTTTGAAAAATTTACCAGGTGCTTTCATAGTTAACGGTTGCAATTAAATAATCAATTAAAAAAATTAAACAATCTAATTATGGAATGAATGAAAAAATAAGTTGAGACGACAATTAAATAGAGAAAAAAAAATTTAAAGAATGAAAATGATTTTAAAAAAAAGAGTATAACTTATGAACCAGGAGTATTTTAAATACTTTTTTTTAGATTTAAAGAAGTTAATGATTGTTTTTTTTTTTTTTTTTTTTTTTTATATATATTTTGGTGTTATTTAATTTAAAAAAGTTTGCTTTTTTCTCAGTATGAAGTATTTCAGACGCCGTCCAACATTGCTCGCCAACCATTCAGTATGAAGTATTTCAGACGCCGTCCAACATTGCTCGCCAACCATTCAAGAACCGATTCTAAAACTTTCAGCGGATGCTTATTTAATGGTTTGGAGTGTTCTAAGTTGAATAGTTTTTTTTTTTTTTTTTTACACCTGCTGTTTATGCTGTTTTAATACCATATTATTAAATATTGGAGTTTGACTTCAAAACACCTGAAATTAAATTTGTAAAAAAAATTCTGTTAAACTTAAAACACTCTTCTACTCTATATAAAGACCATATAAAAATTTCAACTAGGGTTGTTTTGATCCCTGTCCACAATGTTGGGCGGCGTGAAACTTGTTTTTGCTATTTTTTGGTATTTGTTTATGGTTTCCATAGCAACATGTTACTATTTAATTTTTTTTAATACGTTTTTCTGATTTTTTTTTTTTTTTTTTTTTTTTTTTTTTTGTATATACTATTAATCTGACTAATATTTTTTTCTAAAAATTGATTTAAAAATTAGAGGGGGTTTCTCGCTTAAGAAGTCAGTTTTTGTAATGTTTTTTTGCGTAAGACAGCATATAATCAACTATAATTCCTAACCTTATAATAATTGAACGAAATTTCAATATACAGGAAAACAAATAAAGTGAGTTTGAGATGATTCATTTATAAACATATAATCTGTTAAAATAAAAAATATATATATCTATCTAAAAATGTGACATTACAAAAATCAAAATGTCCCGTAAGTAACGGTGGAATTGCCCATGTATGTGTGTATATATATGTATGTGTGTATTTATATGTATGTGTATACATTTAATAAAAATAAATAAATAAAATTATCAGACGGGAACACTTTGGCCAAAATTGGCAATTTTTTAGTATCTACGTCTTTATTGCTTGTCATGAATTTGAGACAATTTAAAAGAAGGAAAAAAGTGTTAATTTATCAAAACCGAAAAACGAACTCTTACGAAAAAAGACTAGGATGATTAACAGCTAAAAATAACTGAAAATTTAAACAAATTTATATCCGGATGTAAAAACTCGAAATACAATTACACACAATACTCGAAAAAAGCAATAGAAAGTTGATAAAATGGATCCTCTTTCCGAAATAAACAATTACCGATTAAACAATTTTGTTAATAACAATGATAAATTCTATTTTAGTCAAGTAATATATATATAGTAAATTTCTACAAGTAAAAACACTCAATTTATGCAGCTTAACATTTTATAAATGCTACGAATTTTAGATGTCGAAAGAATCAGTAATCACCACTAATAAGTTTTAAAGATAAAAATGTAAACACTATATTATTGAAATATATTAAATAAAAACTGATGCATATTATTATATATTAAATAAAATTTGATGCAATGTCAATTTTGGAACATTAAACTTGAATGCACAGTTTCTTAATAATATTCTTTGCTCTCGATGATATTTCAAAGCATTTTCAACTTTTTTTTTGCCCTTTCGTTCAATCTTCTTTGCTGTCGTCATTGTTTGACATTTTGTTGATAGTGGTATGCTTTTTTATATATATAATTGTTTGCAAGAGATAAAATTAATATAAGGATATTAACCAAGAGAAATCACGTATATTTAAAGAAATAAAAGGGACTTTAAAGAGGAACTAATATGGTAGATTATTATTTTATTAAGACCTATTGTTTACTTTTTGTCATAACGCAACAAATAATTTTTGCTTATTGCCACACATAATTTATTATTATTTTAATACTAATTAACCGACTTAATATTATCTTTTTAAGTTTTTTTCAAATAACTTACTTATTTTAAAATATAATAAAATAAAAAACAATGTTTTTTAAGTTTTTAAAACTAGTACATTTAAGACAAGTTTTAAAACAAGCGAGACTTAAAAGTGAGAGTTTAAATGCATTTGAATGGTTTATTTATAAGTCTTCAAAAATAACAATTCAAAATTAAAACTAAAGCACCAAAACTCCATGACGACATATTTTTATGTTATTTTTATTCATTACATTGGGTTGAAACATTGGGAAAAGTTAATTAAGTTAAAAAACAAGTATAAGTCAAACTATAGCGTTTGGCAACTAAAATTCCACTAAATTAAAATAAAAGTAATAATAAAATAAATGTTATTTTTAAAAACTATAAATGGTTTTTAAACTTCGTTGTTGCAATAAAAGTGTAAAATATACATTCGACATCTTTCTTTTTCACATTTAAGCCATCTCATACGCTGTATTTTCTTGAATCTTGAAGTTTCTTGGAAATTGATCTTGAAGTTTTAGTCACTTCTGGCATTTTATTAATTAGACTTGCACAGCAATTTAAATTTGCTTTTGTGGTTAACGATTAGTAGGCATTCATCAACAACATCAAAATCAAGTTTCAATAACTTGAATAGTTTTTCAATTCTTTAGAGGTCCGCAAGTTTAAATCTTTAGAGTGCCTTCTGTTGCTATTTGAAGATATTTAAACATTTTTCTCAAAATATTTATGTGGGTGTCTAGGACATGGATAAATTAGTTACTGGATACGGCAAATCCATGTTTGGTCTGACAATTTTAAAAGATTTTTTGAAGAAGACCTTTTGTTGAAAAAGTGACGTAATACGAGGCAAAAACATAAAATGCAAATTTGTAAATATTTAAGTGTATAACAACTTAAATGAAAAATTTATTATATAGCTTATATATTCTATGTGATTAAGTTGCTAAGCTCAAGACTTAAGTCTATTAACAATTTATTACTATCACGCAAATCAAGAGACATGAAAATCCAATGATAAATTTTTATTTTATAGTAAAGTTTAAATTGATAAATAAAATAAGTCATCTAAATGCATCGGCGGATTAAGACTTCTTGGGGCCCGGGGCTATTTTTGTTTTTGGAGGCCTTTTTATGGGCCAGAGTCTAAAAATGACTTTAAAAAGAAAAAAAAAAAAAGAGATCCTCTAAAATTTTTGGGGGCCCCTAAAATTGCGGGGCCCGGCGCTATAGTACACCTAGCCCCCCCCCCCTCCTTTGATCCGGCACTGTCTAAATGTTAACAATATATTTCCGATAAATCAATTTGATTTTCCAAAAGATGGTATTTTTATAAGACAGTTACCATATTTATGCATCCTTATCTATGCATATATACCCAGCCGGCACAACTGAGAAAAAAGTTACGCTTGGTTTTTGTTGCGTTCTAAAACTTAAAGCATAACTCGTGCCAATAATGGTTTTCATTATGTAAAATTAACTATTACTATTTACCATAACCATCAGTTAAAATATTAATGGTTTCCCCGTTACAGAAACGTAGTATTATACTTTTATAAATTTCCGTAAAGAATGTAAAACCACTAGTAAAAGCATGCGACATTAAAAATTGATTTTAAAACTTCGAGAACATGTGATAAACTCAAGTAAAACTGCGCGCAATATGTACATATTTTTGATCTATTCCGTAATGCCTTGATCATGAAAAACACGTGTCTATACAAATTTTAATTCCGAAAAAGAAACTAGAAGTGCTGTTAGGTATTTATTTAGGTTTATAATAAAAATAAGAAGTATAACAATAAAGTTTTGGTTAAACTCAGCATGTTAGCCCACACCACAATTCAACAATAACTTTTTACAAAGAAAAATGAAAATTACCTTCACATTGATCAGCATAACAAAAAGTATAAATAAGGCAAACCGCTATGAAATAAATCTAAACAAAAAATACAGAATTAAATACAATAAACTGCTATATGAAACTTTGTATTAAAAAAAAACAACTTTATAAATAGCATTTTCAACGCTAAGTTTAATCGCTACAAAATCTCGTTACGATTAAATTTAATGTTGGTAATGTATTTTGAAACAACCAAATAATTTAAAATAAAAATATAAGACGAAATTATTTAAGATTAAGTACTCTCTGTTCAGGTGGCCGGGTGTGCAGTTAAGGCCACTTTAAAATAATCTACGCATCACATTTATTTTGAATATATTAGGGAATGAGGAAGTTAGATTACGAACAATTTTAATATTCTGACATTTGTAAAACTGTCAATTATAAAGCACTAGTGTTTTGTCAGTATGTTTGTTTATCATAATGATTCATGAACCATTATGATAAAAAATATGTATACTGACAAAATATTATTGCTCCATGACTGACAGTCATGCAATGGTATTTGATAACAATAGACATTCTCAGGTTTTCCATCCATTTTGAATTTTTTTTATTGATAAGCTGCAACATGAAAACCCATCACGCCCCATTCGCCATCTTCCCCTAAATCCTGCCATTAACATTTATGTCAAATAACTTATATTAGCAGATAATAAGTTGTTTAAAAAACATTAAATCTGACCATTTAACTAAAATTTATACAGATTTATCAAAAAAAGTTGATTATTGCGGTGTCTTTACAAGACACCGCAATAACTTTTCAAGAATTTCCAATTCCCTTTTTGAGGAATGTCTAAAGAGAGGCGCGATAGCTCAGGATGCGTTTTGAGAATTCTATACTGAAAGCCTAATTTGAATTTATGAAACTTTAAGTTTATAGTTTGATGTGTCTTTAAATAGAGAGGCTGGTTAAAATTTTTAACAAATCAATATTTCCAAGTGTTTCAAAAGTTTAAAATCAATCATTGTATTTTTTGCGTATTCCAACTGACCAAGTTGTGCTTCTCAGATTTTTTTCAAGAAAAAAATTCAAAAACTCCGTAAGCCTAATTTCTTGAAAAAAAAACTCCTTAACCGTATCTTTAACAGAAAGTCGCTTTTGACACATTGTGGAGCGTAAAACATGTTATATATTGCAAGCAAGCTAAAAGGCGTTTTAATAGTACAGTGGTTACTGGAAATGTACAAAATAATTTAGGCACATCAAAAAAGTTCGGAAAAAGAAATCAAGATTCAAATCACGGAGTTTGTTTAATATCTCGTAATAAATGTGTTTTTTTAAGATATTTAGCGTGAATTGCCACTAAATATTATATAACGCTGAACTTAACGAAATTAAATTCAGGTTAGGTTAGGTTTATCCTGCTACTGGTAACATGTAACCCAGTACAATCTGCATCATGTCCTGCTGCCTTGTAGGATACGCCTTTTTAAGCAAAGGCTAGGAGATGCCAACTCCGACATAAAACACCCCCTGCTTTGGGGCTCTTGTTTGAGTAAAGGCTAGAGATGGTATCTCGATAAAAATACTCATCTTGGGCAGATGTTAAATTTATCCGGCTGCTGTCTTGTAGAAGGCCTCCTAGGCTAAGACTTAAGGGTTAAACAGATTCTATCTGTTGACCAGCCTCGCACCCTTCTTCATCTAGTAGGCTGGCGCAGATGTATTTTTAATACATTGTTTCCAGTTTAGGATGTTGAATGCTGGATCTTCTTGACTCGATGCATGGCTTTTGTTTGTGTCTCTGTTTTTATGACTAGGCAACTCATTCTATTATCTCCTAATGAGGGTACAGCTCTAAAACTCAGTTTTATGGTTCTGAGGCCGGCTGGTAGTCAGGTTTCCCGAACTCTGTGGTAGCTCTCATAGAGGCTGATTCCATCAACAGCTAAAAAATACCAAGGTACTAACAGTGCCAGAGTCGTAAAGACTTCAATAGTAAAATGCTTGGCCTGGGCATTTACATTCGTCAGAATTCACCCATTTGTCGGGAAACTAGGTTTGAATCCACAGACTAATCTTTTATGTGCTTTTGTTTAGCACCACTGCACTCTATCACCTTTCTGTTTGTTCTATATCGCTCTTCTTCATCTCAAGACTGCACTCTTCTTGATGTTTTTCTGATCATATTGACTAAGCCCTTTATCCATCAGCCAATATTGTTGTTGTCGGTGACTTTAATGTTCATCACACTGAATAGCTTGGTTCTAATGTCAGTGACTCTTCAGGCATTAAAGTCCACAACTTTTGCCTTTCTCAATCCCTAACTCAAATAATGAACTTTCCAACTGGCTTTCCAGACAACCCGAATCATTTACCTTCTCTACTTGACTTATGTCTTGTTTCTGATCCTAGTCAGTGCTTAATTTCTCCACAATGACCCTTAGGTGCCTCTGATCACAGTTTGATCTCTCTAAAACTATTATCTCATTTTTTTTTTATCATCGGAATCCCCCTATCATCGTATATCTTTCAACTAACTTAAAGCTGGCTGGGACTCTTTCCGTGATTTTCCTCGTGACGGACCTAGGGTAGAAATCTTTCGCCTTCCTGTTAACAAATGTGCTTTTTTCATAACTATGTAGGTTCAGGCTGGCATAGAATCCTTTATTCCCTCTTGACAATTTCAGATCAAGTCTCCCTCTTCTCCATGGTTTTCCTCATATTGTCCAGCTGCAATTGCAAATTGAAACCATAAATTCCATATCTATCAGCAAAACAATTCTCCAGAAAACAGACGTCTGTTTATTACTGCTCGGAACTATTGTAAAATGATTTTGTCTAAAGCCCGCTATTCTCAGGTCATGAAATCTCGTATTTTATCACAAAAATTAGGCTCTCATGACTTCTGGAGAATCTATAATAGTATTAATAATAAGGGCAAGTCTGTATTTCCACCTCTTTTGTATGGTTCAGACTTTGTCACCTCACCTAAAGACAAAACTGAATTGTTTGCTAAGAACTTTTCATCAATATTATCTTTTGATTCCAAACAGGTTGATCCATTGCTTGACATCCGTATCACTCCAACTTCTGTATCTAAAGTGATTTCCTGCTTAGACTCTTCTACAGCTTGTGGCCGGACAACATACCTGTAGTCTTGCAGAAGTGTTCTCCGGAGATATCGTCTATCCTTTCAAAACTATTCAACAATTGCTTATCAGAGTCCTGTTTTCCAGCCTGCTGGAAAGCAGCACCTGTTATCCCAATTTTTAAAAATTTTGGAGAGCGATCTGATTCGTTTAACTACCGTCCCATTAGTCTTCTTTCTATCATAAGCAAGGTTATTGAATCTTTAATTAACAATTTCTCATCTTGAATCTAATAACTTATTTTCTGATCATCAATATAGATTTCGATCTTCTCGTTCTACGGCTGATTTGCTAACAGTAATAACCGATAGGTTATTACTGTTAGCAAATACTCTGGAAACATCTTTAAGATTATTGAAACCTTCCTTTCCAATCTTAGTATAAAAGTTGTCCTCAATGGACAGCATTCTTCTTCTTATTCTGTAACGTCAGGGGTTCCTCAAGGTTCAATCCTTAGCCTTATACTCTTTTTAATTTACATTAACAATCTCCCAGATATTCTCGCATCTAAGGTGGTATTGTTCACTAATGATACTACCATTTACTCTTGTCCCTCTAATTGCTTGGAGGAGGCATTTGAACTTGAGACGTATCTCACTTCTATTACAGTAACAGTGGCTGGTGAACTTTAATTCAGATAAAACTCAATTTTTTTCAGTCAATTGTTATCGCAATAGTTTAGACCTTCCTATATTTATGAACGGTAATGTACTCGATGAGTTATCTACCCTTCAATTTCTGGGATTGACTCTTACTTCTGATCTTTCTTGGAAACCGTATATCAAATCCATTGCAAAATTAGCATCTGCTGAAGTTGCATCTCTTTATCGAGCTCGACACTTTCTTATTCTGGATTCTATTCTCTATCTCTATAAATCTCAAATCCGACTTTGTATGGAATACTGTTGCCATATCTGGGGCGGATCTTCTAATGATGCCCTTTCTCTTTTAGACAAGGTGCAAAAACGCATTGTAAACATAGTTGGATCTGCTCTTGAAGCCAACCTTCAACCATTATCACATTGTCGTAATGTTGCTTCTCTTTGTCTTTTCTACAAATACTATAATGGGCACTGCTCTAAAGAGCTAGCGTCTCTTGAGCCATCTACTAAAATTCGTTTTCGTGTTACTTGTCATTCAATTAGGTCTCATCCTTTTTTTGTGACTGTTCCTAAGTGCTCCAAAAACTCTTATTTATTTAGTTTTTTCCCTCTATTTTTTATCTAATGTTATGAGATTCCATACTATATTTTGTCAAGTTTCCTCTTAAAACTTAAATTAATCATTTTTATGACACAGTCTAAATAAACATTAAAAAATAACGCTTAAAAAAATTTTCTGCACTGATTTTGTTTAATTTAATGCTTGGTGTCTAAATTACAAATTTTCCTTTTGTATCTTTTTTTCGGGAACATGCTAAAGTCATTGGAGACTATGCCAAGGTTTTCAGCAACAATTTGGCATTCATTTAAAATTGAACAACGCTAAAACAATGATGTTTAAAAACAAACCCAAAACTAATTGCTTAAATAGACAAATATAATGTTTTATAGTTCAGGGTCCCCGGCCCATGAGCTAACCCGGGCCCCAGGGCAATGTACACCCTGAATCCTCTCTCTACAGCCATACCCATAATCTACTACTTATTCAAAAAAAAAAGAAAAATTAAATTAAATCTACATTAGCAAATTTTTTCTTTTTTAGTTTAATAAATATTTTATAAGATATTTAAGTCTCTAAAAACGTGGCGCAAATCACGCTTTTAGGGATGTAGATTACACAATACACAGACGCCTATTACGGTGTTTGTAATTTTAAATTTGCGTTTAAAGCTTTTTAATCTATTTTTTGGATTTGATCTGTCCCCGTTTTCTTTAATTTATGTAAATGTACATAATTGATTGACAGGTTTGGGTTGCGGAATGGTTAGATTCAGGATTAGGGTACGCTCAACAGCATCATTGTTTAAAAATCGCAACTTCCTCATAAAATCCTAAATAGCGAAAATCCCGTTCTTAGCAACTTACAATCGTTCTATAAAATATTAGGAATCTTTTCAACATAAATAATTTTTAAGTTAGTTACTTGTCAAATTCCGTAAATTTTAGTTTGCTAATACATTATCAGTTAGTTTTTCACTGTTTATCATAAGTCTATATTTTAAAATTTTAAAAAATTAAAAGCAACTTAAAAATATATGTTTTAGAACAAAACTGACTTCACGTTACAAGAAAATGGTTAACTAATGGAAACCAAGCTTTGACATTTAAGTACGCAAATTTCAAATAGTTTTAAGTCAACAAAGCTCAGAAAAAAGTCTCTACAAAAATGCTTTTTAAACAACTTTTTTTACCTTTTCAAAATGTTTGCTCCAGTTCATTTTTAAAATGTTTGCTCCAGTTCATTTTGTTCAACCCATTTTTTCTTCGTTAAAAAACTTCATTAGTATATTTTCTTGAAAATTAGAATTTTTTAATTGATTAAAAATCTTTGAGGTAGCTTAACTAAGCTAACAACAATGAAACTAAAAAACCATTCATTAAATTATTGTGCTTATTAATCCATAAAAAAAAAACTATAAACAAAAAGTTAAAAAAATCATTACTATGAGAATTTTAATGAAAGCATGACAATTGTTATTAAATTTTTTTTAATTGTTTATTAATAAAAGATATTATTATCAAAATAAAAAATAACAATGGTTATAAGTAACCATTTAATAGGTTTATTATAGTATTTTTTATATTTGTTATATTATTATTATATTTAGTAAACTTTATAGAAGAAAGGGAATAATTGTCCTTTATTTTTTTTGATGAATTTTAGATGAAAGTATTGTTTTTAGTTGCTATTGACTTTACACGGGCAAATTGTTTGGTTAAATAACAGCATTGATAAAGAAATAGTGGTTTGGGGGGAAAAAAACAAGATGAATTTAAACATCAAAGCTTGTTAAAGTTTTGTTGACCTACAAAAAGTTACACTGGCTAAAGTTTGTCAAATCAAACATCGTGTTTTAAAATTCATATTTTGAGATAACTACTATATATTAAACCAAGAAAATTAAAACGTTAATAATAAAAATATTTAAGTACGTATTTTTCATTAAATTAAATAAAAAGTATGTACGTTGCATAAGCATGTAAGCTGAGTAATGCTATAAAATAGATCGCTTTATAATAAAGAATTATCCCCCGCTTTAAAACATTACAATTATTGTATTACATTACAATTGTCGTATTGATATATTAATATTATTTAACTTTTTGTAACAATAGTTCATGACTAAAATAGCATGATTCCTTTTTTATTTGAAAGAATTTAATTATTTAAATAAATTGTGTTTCAACAAAAAATTTAAAGAGTTGAAATACCGTTTTTATTTAATTAAAATATGACATAAAGGTTGTTCATAAGTTACGTCACGCAACTTTGGACTGTTTTTGACCACTTCTCTTTTCCTCAAAACACCAATAACTCGTTAGTACCAAGTCCCGTACTAGTAGTCACAAAACCGCTTACCTTTCCCCCTTTCCCTGAAGCCCAACGTAATTTGTAGACAACTCCATATAGCAAGAGCTTTGTTAAAGAATAGACTCATGAATGTAAGTTGACTGATCTTTTTAGGTATATACAAAGGAGTGTACATAAAATTGACTGGATTATGAACATATATTAGATTTTTATCTTTTGTGAACATTGCTTTTGTATCTGTGTATTTACCATTTTGATGTTATGATTAAAAGCTATATTTAATATTGTGAGTTTTATAAAAAAAATCGTTTAGTTTTAACTTTGATTTTTCTTAAGTTTATTGTTAAAATAAAAACCGGATTTATAAAAGATTTGAAATCAACTGTGCAACTAGCACAAATTTATACACAATCTTTCTGATGAAAATTGGAGGAAACTCAAGATAAAAGTCTAAGTTATAAACTTAACAGTAAAAATAATATCCAGCTAACAGCATTATTATGATTTCATTTACATTCGAAACTTCATCAGAATAAAAATAGTTAAAACTCTAACTTAGAGTTCATAGAACGTAATACAAAGTTACAGTACTTCACTTTTGCTTTAATTTTCAGTTTCAAGATTTGAATATTATGCATCATAATGGTTACTTTCAATATTGGTTTTATTTTTTCTTATTAGTATTGTTATTATAACTTTTTATTAATATATATATTTTAGATATATTATCATATATCTTAAGAGTTTCCTCCAATTTTCATAAAAAAGATTGTGTGCTATTACACAGTTAATTTTAAATCTTTGATTAACCCGGTTTTTAATTTATATCATAATAGACATATTTAGTAAACATACAGAGACGACGACACTTAGGGCAGCAGGGGGATTCATAATGCTGTTTGCTCGAAATCATGTTTTTTTTTTGTTTTTTTTTTTTAAATTTCTAAATATAGAGGACTTTTTTTTTATTTGACTATTGACAATTGTGCTTCACTTTGAAACCCGCGTCGTCGGTCCTGATAAATATGCTATAGTAGATATATATATATATATATATATATATATATATATATATATATAATATATATATATATATATATATATATATAAAGATATATACTTAGAAACCTGATATATATATATATATATATATATATATATATATATATATATATATAAAGATATATACTTAGAAACCTGATATATATATATATATATATATATATATATATATATATCAGGATATATACTTTTATATCCTGATATATATATATATATATATATATATATATATATATATATATATATATATATATATATATATATACTTTGAAACCCGCGTCGTCGGTCCTGATATATATATATATATATATATATATATATATATATATATATATATATATATATATATATATATATATATATATATATATATATATATATATATATATATATATATATATATATATATATATACATATATACATATATATATATATATATATATATATATATATATATATATATATATATATATATATATATATATATATATATAAATTTAGTTCACGAAAAAAACTTTTGTTTAATCCATAGTTATCTCTTATATTCTAATATAGTGTGGGCTAATACATAAAAAACAAAATTAATTAAACTACAAAGCTTCCAAAATCATGCGTGTTGAGCAATTCAATATCTAAGTAGAATGGATAATCCTATCAGTGTGAAAAATATGAAAGTCTTAAACTTAAAAAACTTCATTTGTATATGATTATTATTTTTATTACGACAAATATAAAAGCAGTTGCTAAATTACTTTTCAGATGCATTTTCGTCAACATTTATACCAAAGTTATAATTCCATAACTACAATTTTAATTAAAAATAAAACTGGGAGAAATTTAAATAAAATTAAAACAGTTTTGAATTATGTCTTTCACTTGAACATGTTTAAAAAACTTAGATGGACCTTCATTGTTTAAATGGCAAACAAAATTGGTTATTTTTGTTTCTGGAGAAAAAAAAAAATTCTAATTTTATGAATATTTATGAAATTCTTAAAGTTACTCTAAACTATCTCAATATTACGCTGATTCCGCAAAAAGATTTTTTTATTCTTGAGCTATACCAAAAATGCTGCTATTCTTGGGTTTTCTTCTTTTGGTATATTCTTTATATATGTCTGGTTACAATGTCAAATTTTATTGTTCTATCTTATTTTATTTATAGCATCAGTTATTGATACTATAGCAACATTAACTGTAACAAAGTTCCAGAGTAACAGTAACTGTATTGCTTTTGATACGAATAATTTTATTTAAAATTCCTCAATAATTTTTAGCTGATAAGACTAACAGTATTTAGACGCTCCGTCTGGTAGTTGATGTAAAATAAAATTAACAACGGAGCAATTCGTGGCATTTTTTATTCAGTTGGGTTACAATAAAAAACAATTTAAAAAATTTTTATAAAATTTAAAAAATTTTTTTCAACTATTTTAGAAAAATTTAAATTTTTAAAATTTTAAAAAAATGTTTACATTTTTTTTTTTTTTTTAATTTAGCTTTTGAATATTTCCAAAAATTGTTTTTAATTTTTTTTCAAAAATTGTTTTTAAAGAGCTAGTTTTCATTACGTGCACTTTACATAAATTTAAATAATGAATTTATCTATTCATTACTCAGTGAAAATAAAGCTTCCGTTTTTTCTAGAAATATTAGTCGCATGGTAATTCTTTTTATTCCAGCAAAATAATAAATCTTAATTACTTTTTTTTTTGTTTAAGTATAAACCCCCGATTTTTTCTTATCTCATAAATATACCATGTTTTCTTTGTGAGATTATGATATATAATATATATGGTAATCTCACAAAGAAAACACGGTAATTACTCTACTTTATGGTAAGTACAACGTTTTCTTCGTTAGAGATGTCTTGAGTACCATTTAAAATGATTATTATTGAATTTTTTCTTATATAAATTCATTTTGAGCTCTAATAGTACTATTTTCCAAAAATTCATATATATAGACATCATATATATAGACATAGTTCATATATATAGACATATATATAGACATTCATATATATAGACATTCATATATATAGACATAGTTGATATAAATGTTGGTTAGACATCGATTAATGGTTATTACGGTATTCTTTAACGTGTAAATGACTTTTTAATGTTTCATTACAGTAATTATTAACTAATTGAATAAGACACAGATAACAAAATATAGAGTTTTTTCTTTTGCATACTCCTCACAAGCGATCACATGTTCAAATTGTGAATAGTTCCAATTTAAAAATGTTTTTTTATTAAAGTGCTTGGGTGTGTGTTCTTCATCATGGAATATTTAATGATTTTTCATTTTCTTTAAATTTGGAATTTGCAAAATTATGTTTTTCCTTATTAAAATTGTTTGAATCAATTTCCTACTTAACCTAGGCCAAACTAAACCGCAAACAAGGTTTTTGCTTTTCTTTTTTATATTTTTATTTTTTTTTATGTTTGCTTTTTCGCTGCACCAGAAAAGTACATTCACTATTGTGTGATTTTTTTTCTTCCGTCTTATATGGAGAAAAACATTAAACAGAACACTTTAGAATCATGGTTAATTTTTTGAAATGCCAAAAAGTTGCTGTTTTTTTAGATTAACCGACAAAAGCAACGTGTTCAGAGCTTAAAAAATCTCAGAAGCAAGCTATTGGTCACCAAAGTCATTACTTCTGTTCTTAATATTTTATTCTTGTATGTTCTAATTTTATTATAATACAAAAAGTATAGCCGCAATTATTTTTAAATGCAGTTGTAAAGTTGCTCCATAAAGCCCTTACGGTCTTATTATAAAGCAACGCGGAAGAGCCTTCCTCCCGTACCAATGTCGCTTATCTGCCCAGAGCCGGCATGAAACCTCG